CCTGCCTGCCTGCCTACCTTCCTTCCTTCCTACCTACCTACCTACCTACCTACCTACCTACAGGACGAAGAGATGAGGCCGGTTGCCGAGCATCCACCCCAGGCCGCGAAGCCATCCGCCTCAACCTGACTTTGGTACAGTTAGCTTGGGATTCCCTGCGTTCGGGATCCTTTAGTTGTCAGTTTTTCGGGGTTCGTATGGTCACGGACCGTCATCGATTTTTATTCTCCCTCCTGTCCCTTAATGTACAGAATTCGCAAGTCAGATCAGTCGTGATCATGCTGTGATCAAAAATCCGCGAGCGGTTCTGCAAAACGTTGTCGCTCTGAAGTTTCAGTTTGGGATCGCCCATAGTTCTCAAGCGCTGCCATTACCAACACCCTGGGCAGCACCACGGTTGATCGAACTTGTGCAGTCCATGTAGGAGATCCGAAATACGGCCCGCAATATGATTATCACGACCCAGTCCAGCTGTCGGCGCCAGCCGATGAGGTACTGCTGGAAATATTAAGATGGAAGAAGCATGCTTACCTTCAGTTACACGCTTGTGACGCCTTCGGTCCGGAATCTGGCAAGCATTTATCGAGTGTTGCTCATGTTCGCCTCTGCCTGCTTTAACTCTTGAGCGTTGATCAAATGCATTGATGCGTAGGCACCAAAGGGAGGCTGATGCCGCATGCCACACTTCGCTTGTCCCACTTGTTGACATCCTATTGAGTTTTTCGCCCACAGCCTTTGTGCTTTGCTGGCGTGCCTGCGAAAACCAGACATCTCTTGCTGGCTGTAGTACAATACCAGTACGGACGTTTCGGCATTGAGCCTGGAGGTGTCGCGCGATGGCATCGTCCCGGTCCCCGCCCTCGTACCAGCTCCCGCCCGGGCCTTTCGCAGAGTGATCTGTGCAGGTCTATGTGAGGATATTCAAAGGCAACTTGTCACCCCCGTGCCCAGGTCATTCCTCCGACGCTGGCGGGGCCACAGGCAGACCAGGCAGCGAAGACCCAAGACAGTCAGCTGCAGACCACCAAGTTGTAATAGATTCATGTGCACCTCCGTTGAGGTGCAAACTGGGCCCAGCAGCGCCGACATATGGGCTTTGGCTCAGGCGTTTGCCTCCGTGCAGGGCATCCCGGCACCAGGTGAAGTTCTCAGAGGACTGGAATGATGAAACTCCTGCAACATGCACTTGCAGCCTGGGACAAGCTCTCGTCCCGAGTGCGAAAGGTGCCCCCACACTACAGACGCTGCCGCTCCAGTTGCACGAAGCGCCTCCACCTCCAGAGCCTCCTGGAGGCACCGGAGGCGCCGCCGCCCAGGAGCCTCAGGCGGAGCCTCAGGAGGCGCCTTGCAGCCAGTCCATCATAGTCCATTGAGCAGTGCTGAGCCGGGGCATGAGCCGCTAAAGAGAACTTGGGCCTACACCTGGTTCTCGTACTCCGCAGTGGACGGACTGCTGCAGTGGCCTGCGAATTCCCGTCGAGAGCTTGGCTCCAAACTAAGATGTTATCGGGGCTGAAGAGATGTGGACTGTGGACGCTCGTCTGTCGAGCAGCTCGTATTCTCAACAAGTTACTTGTAACAAGAATGAAAGGATTCACAAAGGCAGAGTGATATGCAAAGCCAATGAGTGCTCTTAAAGAAGAGGCTGTGCAGGAATTTCACTTTCAGCACAACTGCTTCCCGACATATATATATATATATAATATCCTCTGAATGTCGGCGCCGCCGCCATGGTGGGCAGCTTCCATGATTGCAGAGGCGCGCTGGCTGTTCAAAGAACATTCCCCGGACTTTTGCGTCTTACTGTTTGTTTGCTTCTCCTATCTGCTGTCGGGATTGAGTCCGTGCGATGCACCAGGCTTGTGCCAACTCTCGAAGAAACAGCTCACCAGGCTCTGACGGCGGACGATACCCTGTCCCTGAGTCGGGTGGACAGCAGGTGGCGTGCTGAGTTGGGGCAGCCGAGCATCTGGCTTCTGGGCTGCAAATTGGTCCAAGGTGTACGGGCCGTGGGAAGCCGGGTAGGTGTTACTAAGTAAAGTGTGCAGGCAAAGATACCTCAACGGGTCGCCCGAGCTGCTTGCTCGGAATGTGCTCGCGGACAATGACACTGGAGCACTCTTCGTGGGGGCGTCTGTGCACCCGGAGAACTACCGGGCGATAGTTGCTGCCCTGCGGCAGCCGTGCTGGTTCCGGCATTATCAAGGAGAGATGAGGTTTGTTTTTTGTTTGTTCTATTGTAAGCCTGTAGGTTTTCTCGATGATGCTCTTCCCGCAGGAATGAAGCGGTTGGCAACCGAAGGTCGTCTGAGTCGGCCGAGAGGTCTGAATAGTGGAGTGCTGCGGCAACTCCGGCAAAGGCTGCGCAGCGCTGGTATCAGCAGAGAGCTTCAGGGGACAACGTCAAAGAAGAGGCGGCGATCCTTGGAGCTGTCACTGCAGAAGCTGCAGAGCCAACGGCAGCAAATGCGCCTCGACGAGTGTGGCTTCGGACGGTCCACGCCTGCCTCGCTCTAAGCTCGTCACGAGACTTGCTGTGTTTCCTAGTGCCGCAAGCAAAGCATTCGAAGTGAATGCGTCCCGTTCGAGTTTGATCCCAACCAATGCGAGTGCTCGTCTTCCCAACAAAACCCCCCAAGTCTCAAGTCTGAGATAGTCTGAGCCATGCATTGCGGTGTAAACGGTTTCAGCATGTCGGGGTGCAGACATGCCGAGCTGTGTGCAAGTTAATCGCTCAAGGCGAGTGATGCTTGTGCATCCCAGGGAGAAATGGACCGACCTTTCTTTCTGGGTGGACATGCGTGAACAGACATAGGGTGTCCGGTCTGAGCAGTGGTTGCAACGGCCCTGAGGATGCGGCCCATGATGGCCCATGCCTTTCTTGATGTGCTCGCTGACAGCGGTATTCAAGCTCCGAGGGACCATGGAACAAGCTAGGGCTACTGCTTCCGGCAGCCAGGCCGTGTGCACACGCTGACGCGGCATCAATCGCAAATCAGACGAACCCAGTGTCAGCCATCGTGATTTTGCAAGTGCATGTGTACGAAGCTCTGCTTCATGAGCACATGCCGAAAGAGTCAGCAATGCAATGCTGCTGCTGGGCAGCGATCAGCATTGCCGAGGCCTGCAGTCTGTGAACTGGTATTGGCAGGGGTGGGCTCACCAACAGCAAACTTCCGGTTGTGAAAAGCACAAGTCGCAGGACCGGGTCTGGACATGCTTTCGCGTCTGCCCACACTTGCATGAATTCATACCCCTTCTCATTCTTGGCCGTATGACTTGTCTCAAACGAATCTCGCACATGATCTCGCACGTGCAAGCAAATTGGCACTCGCGAGGCTTTGAAGGCGGACGATACCCTGTCCCTGAGTCGGGTGGACAGCCGGTGGCGTGCTGAGTTGAGGCAGCCGAGCATTTGGCTTCTGGGCTGCAAATTGGTCCAAGGTGTACGGGCCGTGGGAAGACAGGTAGGTGTTGCTAAGTAGAGTGTGCAGGCAAAGATACCTCAACGGGTCGCCCGAGCTGCTTGCTCGGAATGTGCTCGCGGACAATGACACTGGAGCACTCTTCGTGGGGGCGTCTGTGCACCCCGAGAACTACCGGGCGATAGTCGCTGCCCTGCGGCAGCCCGGCTGGTTCCGGCATTATCAAGGACGCTCGATGTTTCGGTTGTTCCCGGCGTGGATGAACTGAATGAAGATAATGAGGCTCACGCCATGTTGGGATTGCGTGTAGTCTGAGACCTTCTTTCGCCTTGCGAAGTGGACAGGAATGAAACGACTTGTGAGCTCGGGTCAGCTGAAAGAGCAGCTTGGGGGGCCAAATGGGGTCATCCAAGAGCTCAGACGAAGCCTTCGTGCGCAGGCCTTTGGGGCGGCGACAACGGTTTAGTCACACAATCCATGACGCTGTGAGAGTGGCTGGCCCGGAAGGCACTCGGCAGGCAACTGCAGGCTGGCTTCGCTGCCTGCGAAGCGCGCACATCACGAACGCCACCAGCGAAGAGGAGCCGGGCGAGAAAAAAGAATGGGTAGACAGGGGGGAATGCTATCAGCACAGGACAACCTCCGAAGCGTATACACCGCGAACACCACCAAGGAAGAGGAGCTGGGCTTTACGGTGGGGGCAAGGGCAGCATCTGGCAGCTCTTAGGTCGACAGTTCCCCATTTTTCAGAACTGGCATCAACCCTTTGCATAAACGGCAGAGTAGCAAAATCATTATCGTTCAGCTAAGCACTGAAACAGGCCTTTATGTTTCTGACTAGGCGATCGGACGCAGCGACGCCACCGAAATGTCGTCAAGTTCGGCCACGAGCCCCAAGCGCGAAGAGCACGCCGAAGGCTCCAAAGAGCCTAGGCCAACGAAGTCGTGAGAATGGGTTCATTCGACCTTTCCTGTGTTTGCTCCTTTGCCCTGTCCATAGGAAAGTGCCGACAAAGCAATCTGTTACGACTTCGCAAAGCCGACCGACGCGAGGGCCTGCCGTCGCAACTCAGCCTGGCGAGGCGCAGAAGTAGGCACTCTTGACAGGGTCTTGCGTGCTTTGAATACGAATCCCATCCGTGCAGACATGCGTACCAACAATGCAAGGTTTTTTTTCTGTTTATGTACCTGCCGCATGCACGCATACATATGGCACCCGACATACATCAGGGCATGTCCATGAAAGCAACTACAAACGCAAGGACAAACAGTTCACACACACGTGTATCATGTATCAGTGTGTAATTATTTTTATGTAGGTATATAATCGTTATGTTTGCATAGATAAAGACATAACATCCCAATGTGTTTGCATAAAGGTGTTGTTTTCCGTGGCTGCTACAGAGCCCATTATGTGCCTTGGGGAGCAGCCTTTCTTACACTGCGTTCGGCTGTAGAACCCATCTTTTTCCTCTGCATTCTCCCACGAGATTCATACAACTACGTGGTAAGCCCCCTTTTTTGCTCTGTCGCATACCGGGATAACGCATGCATGGTCCAGCCCTTTTCGCGAACGCACAGCAAGCATTAAGACCTGTGTGGAACCCGTGAGGACCCGACCGCGCGGCAAAAAAGGCTGGACCACGCATTTACCGAGTCCCGCTGGGCGAATGCAGAGCAACAAAAAGCATCAAAGGTCCGCACTAGTTGTTTTATTTTACTGTGCATTCGCGTAGCTCCTGGAGCGTATGGTTCACATTCGCCTAATGTCTCCTATCCTATCCGGAAAGTGAATGCACAGCAACAGCACGAACAAGAAGCACCGAGCGATACACAGCGAAAGGGAGCGCAGCCCAGCAAACAAAAAGCTGCAGCCACAGTCTTGCGATTGGTGCAGACATGGGGCCAGACGGTTGTTGCGAGATGTTTGGCGGCACGACTTACACCTGCGATGTGTTTGCTGAGTACTGGTGCGTGGCATGTTCAAGCCGGAGAGTGCGGGAGGTGGGGCGTGCGGTGATGTGCAGTGAATACAAGGAAACCTAAACCTTTAACCAATGCGCATCAGAACCAAACAGCAAAAGCACTTGCGAAGCGTGGCTTGTTCCTTACTCCAAAGTCCACATCTTACCGGCGCCCCATAGTTATGGCCAGTTGGACATGCATAATCATCGTAATCGCAGTCGTTGTCCTCACTATCACTCGACCTGAGTTCTCAACACGCCAGCTGTTGTTTATCTTGTGCCGACCTGCCAATTTAAACTTCAAACTGTTTGACGGTAAGCATCAACACGAACGGCATACCACGCGTAAGAAATGTATTCGGCGATTGTTTTCTACTGGTGCATATTGATATTCACCCCTGTAAACTTAAACGAACATATTCATATCACATAGCGACGGAACAGACTCAGAGAGACAAGCGGAGCAAGGCGTGTGCAGCTCGCCCAATCCTTCCATTCCGGAATCGCTCGAGCTCCTCCTCGTCCTCATCTTCTTCCTCGTCTTCCTCGGAGAGTTCTTCTCCGAAGAGCATCCCTCCAAAAAGATGCAGTTCACAGGGAAATTCGCAGCTCGGCAGAAATTGAGAAAAGATGGCCGAGTACATGTTGTATTAAGCTAGCTCGGTGAGGTTGCCGCGGACACCTCCGCGCCGCATCCCTCTGTCAAGACAGCGTGACCTTACGCCGGAGCGACCGGCATGCAAGCAATCGAAGCGCTGTTTGCCGGATGGCAGCGAATACGAAGGCCAGGATGCCAACAATCGCCCCAAATCCAAGAAGGTGGAGTCTGACACCTCGCTTGTGTAACTGCAGGAGAAATGAAGGATGGTCGCCCTGATGGTTTTGGCCGCCTTCGCCTTGCTGATGGACTTCAGTACAAGGGAGACTTCCGTCTTGGACGCTTCGAGGGTAGAGGCATCTTAGAAAAGAAGAGCGCCGCGTACTGGGGCGAGTTCAAGGACTGGCGCGGCGGGCGGCACGTGGGTGACGAGTAGCGACCTCCTCTTTCATTCGATGCTACCGAGACGCAGGACGGAAGGCGTCATGGACGGGGATGCGTTCGGCTTCCCGATGGACGAGTTCTCACATGCAACTTTGTGCAGGGGCAGGCCACGGTGTTGCCTTGAGTGAGTGCCTCTGCCATGCACACTATGTCATATGCGGTGAAGACCGGAAGTGAAGTGTGAAGACAAGAGGACCCTATGTAGGTGTTCAGGATCAAGGTGGCAGAATTCCGACCTGACGCAGGCCCAAGGCCACGGCACTCTCCGGCCTCCCGGCTTTCAAAGGACTTTTGTCGGGCGCTCGAAGACAGGCACTTGGATGTGTCTGCTGAGGAGGCCAGACGGCACGACTCTCTTCGAAGGTGACTTGAGTGACCTGAAAAAAAGCGTACACTGCGGTGTACTGAGCCAAGGGTCGGCACTCTTGGGGATGCCGGGAAAGTGAGATCAGATTGTTCCGGTCCTCTTAAACGAAGCGGGGAGCATGAGCCCAAGGTCACGGACTCAAGTGCTGCAAGTGATTGATGACAAACAGAGCCAGCCCCGCCGGTCAACCGCTTTCATGAGCAGGCCAGCAATCTGATCTCGCAACGCTTGCAGCATTTGCAGCGACTGCTGCACTCTGAGGAGTGCGATGGAGTGCGTGTTTTTTGTTTCCTGACAATGCCATGGACTCGCTGCATCGCAGATCCAAAAGCATCACACTAGCTTGCAAGCTTTTTGTTGCAATGTTCAGCTCCTACCGACCATGCGTTTACCTCACATGTCGGATTCGGTCTCTCAGAAGGCGCAGGGAGTGCACGTTCCGAGTGGCTCAGACTCAGCAAGTCAGCAAGAGTAGTGGCATCCATGCAGGGAAGATGGTCTCGCGCGCGCGTGTTGTCAATAGCGAGTTCTCATCGATTGGCACTGGCTTGCTGCACACCCTGGTCGAGACTTCAAGCGTTGGCTTGAACACTTCGCAGTCCAGCTCCACGGAACCTGCCAGCAGACGGGGTAAACTTAAACGGCAGAGAACCAGATTGCTCCAGGACTTTCTGAAGGCGCATGGATTTTCGGGAGTCTGTGAGCCACAGACTCCAGCAGCCTGCTTCTGTCCCCGCCGAACAGGCGTCTACCCCATCCACGAAGCCGATAACATGGTCCACATCTTGCTGCAAGCCAAAGCCGACCCGTTGCAAAAGACTTCACGTGGGCACACAGCGGTTGATATAGCCAAAGCCGCGAACAGTGGTGGATCACACTTGCAGGTCTTGCATCTCTTGCAGGACGATGTGCAAGTTCTCAATCTCCGCGCCGCGAAAGATTTGATGCGATCTTCCGGCACAAAAGTCCCTGAGATGTTGGGCCTGTTGAGCCCTGATGGGGTAGCAGAGGCTCAGGGGCCCTCGAGGGACCTGACGTAGTGAAGGAGCCGAACTTGCCAGGGGCGACAAACTGAGAGGGCTGCGACGATGCAAAGCATTGGACAGGTGTTGCCTTGGAGTTAACAGTGTTGTTTCACAGCTTTTCAAGCTCCCGAAGGACCAGGGCCTGGTCCATTCACTCAAACAGCAGCTACAGGCTGTTTCTTGTGGCAGCTGTCTTTACGTGATTATCACTGTGGCACAGGTGGGTGTAGGCGATGAATCGCTTCTTAAGCAGCTCGGGCATGTTGCTCGGCATTCAAGACGAGCCGACTGCATGGTGCCGGTATATGCTGGTACATTTTCCCCTGCCGGCCAATGTCATGCCAGTTAGGCTAGTGCTAAGGGGTGGGAGTGAACATGTCGTTGGCAAGATGATTCCAGCTTTCTTTGAGACGGCACTTCTGTGGCCTTTCACCAGGCAGCTGAGCCCCCTGCAGAGCCTCCTGCTGCGCCTGCTGCGCCCGCCGAGCCTGCCGACCATTCTGCGGAGCCTGTCGAGCAAGCAGCGGAGGTAGGTGATTTGTGCAGCACCTGTGTGTTTGTGTACACGTGCTTTTGTGTGTCCCGGGGCACGCTTCCGGCAATTCGCGGGAATGGGTGCGGCCATTCTTCGTTTTGATGCCTTCCCTTACAGGTGTTCGGCAAATCTGATTGTGAATTGGGCTCAGAGCTGTTGCTCAGTTGACCCCAGTGTCCCACTGCAAACGACTTTCACGCAACGTTCTGCTGGCCAGTGGAGGTTCGACGCCCTGAAGATTGAACAAGTTGTTTCACTCGTAGTTTCGTACGGCCCTCTGAGGCTTCAAGTGGCAGTAGTGTTAGATGTTGTCATTATTCGTTGAGTCACATGGTCCACGTCAAAGTCAAAGCATTTGTTTGCGTTTTTATTCGTGCAGGTGTGTTTGTGTGTGTGTGTGCGCAGGCGGGCGTATAGAGAAGGGATCTCTCTCACAGCTGTGTCTTCGGAAGGCCCATGGCTGAAAGCGGAAGCATCCAAACGCCAGGAAGAGGATGCAGCGGCCTGCCTCGGAATTTCGGAGCTGCAGCGCCTGGCATCCAGGTGGACACCGTGGAATCGTAGCTCCAACAAAGCAAGGCACATCCCGCAGTGCCCACAGGCTGGGCTGCAGCCAGTCCGCGATCCTGCAAGCAGCGGGGATTGACATCTCCGTGGTGGCGGCGCTTCCCGAGGTCAGGGAGAGCTTCGTGTGAGTTACAGGAATTCAGTCGAGTGATTGCATCAACCGCTGCAGCCATGTCATGTGCTGGCAGGACATGCGCGCATCTGTGGTCATGGCAGAGGTGTCGCAAGTCAGCCCGGAGCCTGTCTGTTTCACGTTCTCGGCACGCCTTGAAGATCAGACAATAGATATCCAACAGTGCTGCTCAGGCCTCGATCACTTGCGGCGAGCTCCACAGGCAGAGACGGCGATGCCAGACATGACACTTGCAGGGTCGCGGCCGCGTCTTGGACGTGAGAGGCTTCGGACCCTGCAGCGGCGCCAGCACACGAGGTCGCATCCGATGCGAGATGGCCGCAAGATTAGTGATCGTCTCAATCTGTCACTGGGCTTCAGGCCGGTAGCGCTGCTTCGGAGATAGCCCCGACCTAAGAGCCTGAGAGGGGGTACCGTCCTGAAACACAAAAGGCTCATACTCGCCTCTGCTTCGTGAGAGCACAGCTCCCCTCCTGGCAGAAGCGCGCCGCAAAAACCGGTGAGTTACGCTTCGCTTCGCTGCAGGATGCGGTGGTCCTCGAGGCATTGCCCGCCGAGATCCGCGACGAGGCCGAGCTTGGGCGGCGCAGACGGAAAGGATCCGCAAGGTCTGAGTGGTACAAATTCGGAACGGAGCTCCGTTTCATGGCTTCCCGGCCGTCGCGCCGCAATCAATGTAGTGCCAGCGTAGTCGAAAGGTTACTGAGCCTGAATCCGGAGTGCCACGAGGTCCTCCGAGAAGAAGCTGTTCGTCGGCGAGAGCAGCAGGCAGTGGTTTTCTCCGACGTCGTCGTCGTCCTCGGTCATGGCTGTGCTGCGGAGTACTGGCACGCTCGTAGATTCAGTCAGCGTAGATCTTGCCTGTGCTGTTAAAGCACATACTGAAGGCTGCACTTCGTCGATGTAAGCCGGGCTATCGTCACTGATGCCCCAGCGCATTGACAGGTAGACATGATGTGCAGCAGTCGCCTATTGCAGGAGCATTCTTGACCTGTGTTGGTCGTTCTGGACTCGTTGAGTGGGACTTTTCATAGGTTTTGTCCCGTGCTGGTAGAGCTGTCGCAGATTGCATCAGGCCAGCGCAGCTGCACCACCTCGCAATTGTCTCAGTGACCTCTGGCGAAGTACTTGTAAAAGAGATCTTCGGTAGTGTGCGTTTCAGGCAGCGTGTAAGCTCCTGGATGGTCCCGGTACTTCTCATTGGCTTTCGTCAGCCCTGACCTATGTCTATCTCCTGAGGCTCGACGCAGAGCAGTGAAATGGACAATGCATCGTTCATCGCGTCTGCCCGGCTCGGACACGAGGGAAAACCAGCGACAGTAGCTTGGCCCGGGGGGCATGCGTCCTCCGAACGAGAATGCAGGCTTGCAACACCTGCAAACAGGAAACTACACGTAAAGAAGGGGCTGCATTGGTTGTGCCGAAGCTCACGTCGTGCTAGTTTGTGAGCCTTTGTGGTGGGTCAGTGCTGGTATCTTCCATGTTTTGCAAAAGCTGGCCAGGTCATTGGATCCCCTATTACGCGAAGAGGTGCTGCTGAGTGCTCCGGAGGACAAGCAGCATGTCGCGACTTTGGCATCGCAGTAGGTCCTCACAATGTTGGTGGAATGCCGTACTTGTACCCAATCGGATGATGTGAGACTAACAGGCAGAGCGCAGATGTCACCTGCTTATATTATGCCTGCCTTCGCCTGGCAGGAAGTTCTTCGGACCCTTCCGGCCGAGCTGGTGGCCGAAGCGCAGCTTTGTTGCTTCAGATCCTTTTGGCGTTTCTCTGCCGGTTTCTGCTTCTAGCGTGGGCCATTCAGTTCAACGCAGAAGAACCTTTGCCTTTCTGTCAGACCACACGCCTCTGAGGCAGCTTCTCCGAGATCGTGCAGCGAGCTTGGTGGGGCCAGGTTTCACAATCTGCTGGGTGACCAAACCAGGGACCCTGCGCAGAGCCTGAAAGCAGCACTCAGGCATTTACACGCATTGCGCTGCGGCGTGAGATTCCGGCTGTACGCAGCCCAGCGCCAGGCTTCAGGAGGGTTGGTTCTAGGTTCTAAATCTGGTTCAGCTTGAGCTGGCCTGGCCGAGATTGGATGGAGAGTTTTCAGCCGGACAGCAGAGGAGCACTGCCCTGGGAAGATCTGGTAGCTCAATTTATTGGGACGTATTCAGGTGCATGGCAAGTGAGCCCAACAGGTATGAAATCTCAGTCAGAGCTGCAGGTGTCTGGGCGGCCGGTGGTCGGCATAGCACCTGGTATGAGTCAGGCGTGAATGGAAGATCCGGAATTGCCTTGAATCCCAGAGACTCCCAGCCCTGGAAGGCACCCCAGAGCCAACGAGTGGCCCAGTCCCAGGCCCAGGCGCAGACCCCACAGGCGCCTGTGCTCTCATGTCCCTCACGGCAGAGGGGCCCTACTACAGACTATTTAGGCAGGAATGCTGCTCACAAGTTGTCTGGACTGGTGTCCCTCCTGGGCATGTGCTGTGCAGCATGTGTTGAGTAGTCTTAATCCGAACCTCAATGTGTGTGTGTGTGTACGTCTCTGCGCGTGTTGCCCGCCTTGTCTGTGAGTCGGAGTGCCTGAATCGGCAGGCATGGCCGCGGCAGCACGCGCACTTGCTCATGATCGAGTCGTCTTCTTAGTCAGCACTCGAGTGCATGGCGTCGCTGCTGATCTTCAACTAATTCGGTGCGTGCACATATTGAGAGTGACACACCGCCGAATCAGGCAGCAGCTCCTTCATCATTCTAGCGGCATACGCCGCTGGGGTGGGCTGACTGCTCAGGAAGATCCTCGCTCGACCTTCCAAAGAGCTGCTAGGCGAGCCGCCGTCTGCTTCCGAGGCCCATCGGTCTACAGAGGCCGCCTCGAGGACAAGGTGCCATGATGTTCCGGCGCAAGGTTTTCGGACCAGTGGAACAAGCGCACACTGCGATGCATTAACGAAAAATGGTTTGATGCATCACAGGGTCCAGAACCTCCCTTCCAGGTGAAGCAGGTGAAGCTGGCGAGTGTTTTGATGGTGGTGGACCTTCGTACTTCGTACTTCGTACGGAGTCTCATGAAACTTAAAGTAGGCAGCGAGGCACTCAGAGAAGCCTCGCTTTGGCTGCGCAGCCGTCCCTGCCAGGCACCCCAGGCCTGAGCTCTTTCGACGATGCGGACCAGCACCTGCCTGGAACCCGGGCTCTGCAGAGCACGACACGCACAGTCGAACTAGGAACCGGGGGGGTGCAGTGGGGAGAAACGGGGGGAAATTGAGAAAGCCCTATGTCCCGATGTCCCTATATATTCCCTTTATATTCCCTGTGTCTCGAAAATCAACAGCTTCCCAGATTGCAGCGCCTCGGAGACTTCGATGATGGCACTGCGCTGGTAGCATCCCCAGACTCTCCTCTTAGAGAGCTTCATTGGAGATATTGGAGAGCTTCAGTAGCTTCAAGAACGAGGTCCGGGGCATGAGTGCGATGTTTCAGTCGCGCTGGGGTTGGATGTCCCTTGTTCCTTCGACAGAGACGGTCGGACTTGCCGAGGAGGTTCCTCTACCAGCAAGCGTCGTTCCACACACCTGCCGTCCGGAGCCTATTGGTGCCCACTACGTTTCTCCGCGCAGACCTCTTGACCTCCGTGTGCCTGGAGCTTTTTCTGCTCAGGTTTGCTCTATCTGCGTGTGGAGATCGCCACGATGCCCATGACGCGGCTTTGCTTCAACCTCTCCCTGCATCCGGTGACTCGCAGCTGGCTCCTGGGCCACTTCCTCATCCTATTGTGCAGGCAGACGGAGCCAGAGGCCTCGCTGGAGTCCCTCCCGCCCCCTTGCCTCTTTGAAGGACTGGATGGGCCCGGGTCCCAATCCAAGCAGCCTCACCGCAGTCCGCTGGAAGTTCAGTCTGTGGGCTCTCAGAGAGTCTTGGCCATTTTGGCCTACCTACTCCGCCGAGTGCCCCAGTGTGGGGACTTCTTTGCACGGAAGCTGCAGAGCGAGCCTTGGTTAAAGGCTTTCCATGCACCACAATGGTCGACTGATCGTAGCAAGAAGTCGCGGGGAGATGTCTCGCTCTTGCAAGGGATTGCAATTTCGGACTTACCGGGCCACTGTGCAGTGAATCTTCTCATGCAGCTGGTGAACACGAGACTCTACTTGTCTTCCTCCCGACACGCTGCCTGGCTGCTCTCCGTCTTGCATGCGCTGCTCTGTCCGCAGCCGGCCCGGAGCTCCACCAGCTCCAAGGACTCGGAAGCTTTCGAGACGCCGGCCACGGTGGCCACGGCCAGCGCGGCCGCCACTGCCACTGCCGCGGCCGTTCCGGCCGTTCCGGCCGTTCCGCCCAGCCCGGCCGCACCGGCCGCACCGGCCGCACCTGCGCAAGCAGCGCAAGCAGCGCAAGCAGCGCAAGCAGCGCAAGCCGAGGAGACGGAAGAGACGGTTGGGTCACAGCGGTGGAGCAAGATCATTGAGGACATGCACACGGCCCTGTCCCAAGAGAGCGTGCTGGCTCTTTGCCACTTCCTTTGCCATGCCGGCAGTGGCCACGGCTCGAGTAGTGAGGGTGATGCATTCCAACTTGCAGGGGATATCCTGGTGGCCCTGGCAGCTTCACGTACACACCTGGACACCGTAAGGTGTGAGTTGATGCAGGTCCTGGCCCTTTTGGTCACGGACATCGAGCGAGCTCTTCAGGAGTGCGAGGCCGCCGCTGCAGAGCCCTCCACGATCGAGTCGCGCTTCCTTCGCGTGGTCAGGACTTTGACCGAAGTTTTCCGGGAGGCCTCAAAGTCAGGACCAGACCGAACTAGCTCGAAGCCGGAGGGCTTCATGGAGGAGGCTCGTGTTGAAAATTTGTGGGATGCCCTAGATCGCACATTGGAGCGCCTGGACGACCCGGAGATGTCAGCCACGCCAGCACAGAAGCTCCTGTCCTCCGGTGAGGGGGACGCCGGTTCGCCTGACAACAGCCAGTCGCCTCCGAAGCCGTTGCTGAACCGGCTGCTGCCGCTCATTGAAGCCTTCTTCGTGCTCCATGGCCACATCACCGAGGAAGCGGACAAGGCCCCACGACCAGAGGAACCACTTCAGATGACCGAGGGTGGCTCCTCCTCTTCTCAGCCGGGCAAAGTCCCGTCACCAGCTCAGCTGTTGCTCGTGTGAAGCAGTGAAGCAGCCATCAGCACAACCTAGACATAGACTAGCTGCAGGAGTTCATCCCGTGCTGAGGTCGCACGTTTTTGCCGAGTTCCACGAGCAGTCTGCAGCAGAGAGATCTCGCTTCGGCCAGTTCTGCAAGAAGCACCGGCGTCCGTTGAATGCGCTGCTGAAACAGACACCTTCGCTTCTGTCGAAGTCTTTCGCTCCGGTCCTCCAATATATGCCGACCTGTCTGGACTTCGACAACAAGCGGGCCTATTTCAGGTGCGGATCCTGGTAAGGCAATGTGCATGCTGGGCAGATGTGCTGGACCTTTCTGTCGCTTAGCGCTTCCCCTTGGCCAGGGCGCAGCTCCGGCCTGGAGCTCGTGTGTTTTTCCTGCTTGTGCTGCGATGTGCTGCGAGCTGCCCGAAGCCAGATGCATGTCAGTCCTACAAACACAGCCCGCCTTAGAGCCCTGTTCGAGACTTCATTGTAGTACTTCTGTCTCCTCTGGCAAGGTCTCGGAGGCTAGAAAGCCGGTATCAGACCATCCGCTTACGAGTCCGTCGAAATGAGATTTTCATGGCCCTGGACTCAGTGTTGCTACAGCTTGCAGACTTTGCTCAGTTGCCCTTGCGACTGGCAAACACTCAGGACTCGTACCACCAACTCCGGATACGGACCGGTGAGGAGATGAGGGCCAAGATCCAGGCCGTCTGCAGACTCTGAGAATCTGAAGCCCTCGTAAGCTCCTTGCCTTTAAGGTTCAATTCCAGGGCGAAGAGGGCATCGATGCCGGAGGTGTGGCCAAGGAGCCACGCTGCTCCAGCTTGCGGAGAGTCTTCGAGGAGGTCGTACGATGTGCTGGCCCAGGAGTGGTATGGAGCGCTGGCCAGGGAAATTTTTAACCCCAACTATGTCTCTTGGACCTGCGTTTGATATTGCTGTTTGTTGATGGACGTGTTCAAAAGAGCGAAGCCCCGTTGGCAGTCGTTGAATGTTCTGAGTTCTGAGGCCCTCTTTGTGCAGGCCGGTGGCAAGGCCTGATTGCTCAGTTGGCTACGGCCTTTGCTGTGCTGTCAATGGCCACGCGGAGGCTTGCACCTACCACCCGAATCCGATGTTGGCAGCCAAGTATGCCAACACATAGGGCGCATTAAAAGGCTTTTCGAAGTGGGCTGCCATCTGCGGAGATTGCCCACGAGACCAGTCCTGTGCCAACGCGATCAGGTCCTATGTCAATAGAGACCACCTCCAGTTTTTCCACTTCATTGGAAGGGTGGTTGGCAAGGCTCGTCCTGCACAGATGCTGTGCAAGCACAGTGTGTGGAGAGGGGGCTTGCTGATTCCCATTTTGTCGGAAGAGCTGAGAACTCGTGATTTCCAGGCCATTCATGATGGCCAGAACCTGGAGGCTTGGTTCACCCGAGGCTTCTACAAGCACATGCTGGGGAAGAAGGTCCGCCTCTGCTCGCCTCTGCCTGCTAGTGCTCGAAGAAGACCTTGCGCTCTGTGCTCCAGGTGATTCCTGCTGATCTGGAAGCATTTGATCCTGAATACTTCTCCAATTTGAAATGGCCAGGGTCACAGTCCCGAAGAGCCTTCACATTGCTCTCATACTGCATGTACCGCGCTCCGATGTGACTTGTACCTAAGGATGCTGGATCATGCCGTGGCCCCAGCTTTGTGAACGGGGTTGGACGGTGGTGAGTGCTGAGCCCTGTGTTGTGTCGTATAAGCAGTGGTGACGTGAACGAAAGCCGCACCGGTACGACTTATATCAGCAATTGGTTCTCGGGTGCTCTGACGCGTAGTGCCCTTCGGTCCAGGTGGTTTGCAGGTCCACGGCAGGTGAGGAAGGCCAGCTCGATTGCTGACAGGACATCACAGATATCATCGAGCTCACCTTCTCCGCAGAAAGCGACGAGCTGGGGCAGATCAAAGCGCCTCGCCTAGTTTTCACGTGGCCAACAGACAGAGCAGGCGAGGTGAGAGTCAGGTGGGGCCAGAGTAGAAAAAGCTTGTGATGTTCGCTGTGTTGGGCTGCCGGATCAAGGTGGTCGACCTCAAGCCTCAGGGCAGAACTTTGCCCGTAACCAACGAAAACAAACACGAGCCGTGGCCTCGGACTCTGTTTCCTAAAGGAGGCTAAAAGCCGGGAGCAGTCTTCATGCCTGCAACATGCTGCAATATCGCATTTTTGCGAGAGTGTTGTTGCGCCAAGCTGTTTCAGCAGTGAGGTACATTCAACTCATGTCGGAGCACAAGATGTGGCGGCCTCATTCGTTGTCAGAGATTTTCTAGCCGACTCTAGCCACAGTGCCCGAGGGGCAAGCGGTGGGCATCATTCGCTCGAACAGATTTCTCCACTTCAAGAGATCTCACGACGCCAGACATCTCAAGACTGTCATGTCAAGGACGAACTCTGTCAAGCAGCAAATAGAGCACTTCCTCAAAGGCCGGCAGAGCTGGTGACCGCAGTGCCACTCTTGGCTACGCTCAGTAACATCTCTGCTGTCGAGGCTTGCATGAGATCGTCCCTCCGCAGCTGTCCCCACCTCGGTATTCTACGGAGATCAATCAGAGCCGTGCTGCGTCACTCCTTCGCAAGATTAAGAATAGTATATGCTCTGCCCTTCTGATAAGTTGAGGCTGTCGTTGTTTGACGACAAGGAGCTGGAGCTTCTCATCTCGGGCCTGCCGGATATTGACATTGAGGAGTTCACAGGGGTGTGTCACGGGGGGTTCCAAGGAGGATGAATGGTTGAGCCAGTTCTGCAGGTGTACTTTGTGCTTTGGGGGTGGCGGTAGTAGCGAGTGTGCGTGAGTTGAGGACCTGAAGCAGAACACCGAGTATCACAACTATACGCCGCTGTCGGATCAGGTCCAGTGGTCTGCGCCTCAAACCTTTCTGCCGGCGGATCCACCTTTTGCCCCCTGCACCCTCCAATCCTCAGATCTGAGCGTCAAACCAGCTGTGCCTTCGTAAGCACTGAAGGTTCTGGAAGGTCTTGAGCGAGTTTACGCAGGACCAGCAAGTCCATGTGTAGCAGCGGTCCACATCTGCATTCACACGGTCATGGCCTGCTACTTGTACAAGGAGCAACGAGCGTGGTTCCTGCAATTCGCCACTGGAACCTCTCGAGTTCCGGTCGAAGGCTTTAAGGCGATGGGGCAGATGGCCCAAGGGCCCAAGGGCCACGCAAGCTCAGTCAGCTGGGTGTTCGTATGTCTTCCTGACTTGCCAGGGTCTGGTGGGTATGAGAGGGCCGCAGAAGTTCTCGCTTCACCGTGCATATGGTATGCATCCCAGTATTGGTCTTGAAGAGGGGGGAGTTCTGTGGTTGACTTCGATGCTTGGGTCGAGAAGGATGCACGTCGAGTCTGCTAGCGTTGCTGATTCCGTCGTGCCCGGCCTTTGTCGAGGTTCTCAGCCTCTTAGGGCGTATTCCTTAGGCAAACGCCTGCAGGAGAAGTGCAGTCTGCACCCCCTGTATAGGGGCTTGAAGCATAAATGCTCCAGACACCAGGAAACAGCTTCTCAACGAGTCCTTGCCGAGGTTCAGATCGGCTCCCATCGGCGCACACCTGTTTCAACCAGCCGCGACCTTGTTTAGGGAGAGCCAGAAGTACCCTCCCCCTCCCCTGTAGCAACACTGCAGTGTCAATGTGCTCCGTGACAAAACACTGTGACAAGAGCGAAGGGCGACAAGTGTGCTCAAGCATTAGGGTTCCTCAAAAACACAGGATAAGACAAGGCTAGTGGGGACCACCATGTAACATTTCGACCGGAGTGGAGCTGATGCACCATGAGGGTGGACTTGCCGGAGTACCCATCAGAAGACGTGCTTCGAGAGAAGCTGTTGCAGGCTCTGCCCGCTGCTCTTTTGCCTAGCTGTTTCTTCACGTTATCTGCCAGTAATGCGAGACTTTTAGTCTCGGTAAGCTGCGGGTAAAAACTCTTATTTCGCGGAGTACCACCGCACCATCACTACGGGTATTTCTGCCATGCACACATTTTGTGTACTCCACACTCGGTTTTGCCACCCGCTTGCCGTTTGTAATTCCGCGCCCTACGTCTGTCCTCTTTCAACTCGTCTACTCCTTCAGACGTTTCTCGTCTTCGAGCGGTGAGCTCCGCTCTCAAGTCGAACGACCCCAGTCCCTGTCGGGTGGGGAGGGGGGTGGCCCAGTGTAAAAACCGGAGAGTCCCTTCGAAGGGCAGAAACCACCTCTCATGTGGGGACAGTTCAAGGTGGTAGAGGTTCAGGCGCCTACGGATGGGGCCCAGGTCCAAGAATGGAATATCAAACAAATCACTTGACTGCCTTAACATTGAAGTGTTGGAGTGTTGATCACGGCAAGAAGCTCGCGTTCTTTCACCCGAGTCTGACCACGGCAGGCCGTGAGTGAAGGGCATGAAGGCTTCGGTTTCGCCTGAGCCCAGGCCTCGTGCTGCAGCCTGTGACCGGTCTCTTTCCTGTCCAAAGTCGTACAGAAGCCACTGTATTAGAAGCTGCAAAGCTACATGATGCGGCCCTGCCACAGGTGATTCATGGTTCTGTGGCCTTGCTGCAGGAATACGCGTATGTGCTCAAGCGGCCGTTTGTTGCGAAGCGAGCTGCTGTTTCCTTTTGTGGGATAAGCAGATAACCCATAGAGGTCGCTATTTTTTCGTCGTACCATCCGAGGCATCTGTCCAGGTCGTGTCGGCTCGCGTGAGTCATGCGTTAATTCTTGCGACGCCTGGCGATGTGTCCATTGTCAATCCTCTACTCTTCATGCTTGTAGGAAGTGAACTACGCTATTGCCAACATCTAGGAAGCGAGCTTGTCTAGCTAGGGCCTAGACAAGATTAGCCAAGACACATTGTTGGGTATGTCCTGCGGTCTTACCATGTTCCATGGAGATGTGCCACAGTGCGCGTCACTTGTCCAAACAACTGGAAGTCCCAGTTCCTTGGGTTTGCAAATACTGGCATGAAGAATATATATATATATGTAATCATCTATATATAATATATAGCTAGCATATATATATATATGTACATA